GGGGTATGATGGGTAGAGCATATGTCTTGCTGAGTAGACTGATATGATGAATCTTTCTGCTATCATAGACAGACAGACAGTTATAGGCAATGCTGTTTCATTGCCTTCCTCACCAATTCCTGTGAACAATTACATAACAATTAGAAGGGAGGAGGGGAGAAGGGGGCTGAATAGGCCATTTATATTCTGCTCGATAGAAAGGGTTATTTATCAGTGACCTTTGGCTTTTCTTTAATTTATGTTGCTTGTGACTTCTGTGATAATACTGAACATGTATAGTCTTCTCCGTGTTTTTTTGCAGTAGTATTCTTTATTCTCTGTGTATAATAGATATTTATAGTTTATTTATAGATAGAGTTTTAAATTGTATTTTAATACATCCACATAATAAACATAACACCTTGTGTGCTTTGATCAGCTTCTTTGACTATGGGAAATCATTTTTCTTTTCAGTGGTGTACAGTAAATGCTGATATAAAAGCTACAGCAAACATTCAAATGAGTGAATATTTAGGAAAAGATGAAAAGCATGTTCATATTATCTTTGTGTGTTACTTAAAGAATGTTGTAAATGTATGCAGTACCACTGTGCTGGGGGACTGTAGTCTGAAATAACATGGGAACTAACATATTAATATCAAGGTAAAGGTACATATTCCCCAGATGCATAGTTTTACCTTTTTCAGCTTTTATTATCTTTAGAATACTGTTCCATTTATTTCATGAATACAGAAGTATTAATTGGCCATGACATGTTCCAAAGACAAAAGAAAGGTCTAATTCACTCTAACAAACTTGTTAGTCACTGTTTATATCAAGAGGATTGTGAATCTATAGAGAGTAACACTGTTTTCTTCTACACTTGCTTTGTTTATAAATCAGAAGTTTTTAAGTGACCTGCAGTGTCTGCTTGTAGTTTGAAATGATACTTCTAAAGCAGACCTCCACCATGTAGCACAGATATTACCCCTTAAGATTAATAAGTTAATGTGGGGGGAAGAAGGTCAAGAAAAGAAATGTGAATGTTGCGGTGTTCTTACAGTGTTGGGATTTTTTGTTCTTTGTCATAGTATTTCATATTCTAAGAAGAAGTCTTTCTGAGGTGTGTAATTGCTCATTTCTACAAGCAGTGGGCAATTTGTGAATGCTAAGCTCTTGGTTCAGATCTTAACAGAATGTATTTTACTTCTGATTTACCGTACATATTAGTACTTCTAAACTTTTTCTTAGCATTCTTCTCTACGAATAGATCTAATGTTTAACTTGTCTTTTTTTGTAGGATTTTTAGTACCTAAAGTGCATAGCTGTCTCTAGGAGTGATGCTTGGAGTCATGTTCACTCTCATTAGTTGAATCAATTTCTAATTGTTATGAATTCACAGTATTACAATGGAATGATCTGTGTGATTTATCTGGTGAAGTACATGATCTTTCACTTAACAAAAAAAGGGGTTTAAAGTTTTCATCCATCCTAATTCTGTTACTGTTTGCTTTGTTCACCAATCACTCTGATCCTCCTAGCAGGGGACAAGACCTAGAGAACAAAACTGGTAGTGACTGTGTAGATAAAAAGGCAATGAATTCTGCTTTTAAGGCATAGAGGGAATAGTCTATAAAAGAATAAAAATTGGAATGAAAGTACAGCGTCTTTAACCTGCAGATCTATTGTACCTTTGAAAAGCTGGTACTCTAAAAAAAACATACTGTGATGCTACAAAGATTCATAATTATGTGACAGAACACTTTGAAAAGAGGTCACTTTCTGAAAAGTGACCAAAAGGCTCGTGAAGAAAATAGACCACATTATAAATAATAGCTGAAGTAAAGAATGCATTTCCTTAAAATGTCTAGGTATTGTTTTAGTGAAATACTAGGTGTCACAATGTATTTTATTTATTCTCTGGTAGAGATGTATTATTTATTTTCTGATAGAGCCACTTTTTAAACTTAGTGGAGATGATGGGGTCAAGAACAGTACTCCAAAGAGGAACATGAAAGAAGTTTCACATCAGACGTTACAGAAGGTAAGATTCCAAACCCAGCAAACAGATCTAAATTTTAATATAAGAATCATATATACAAGTCAGTACTCCTGAATTCAGGCCATGATTTTTTTCCCTTCCTAATTCAAAAATAGGGATTTCCAAAATTGTGTCAGAAATTAATTCTAGTGAAGTAGCTGTGAATGTATCATGTGAGATAAACATAGTTAATGTCAGAGAAAAGTAGAAGAATGTTTAGAGGTATAATGTTAAAAACTAACAAATTCTCTAAATTCAAGTAACATACACTTAGCATTTTATCACTTTTAAGTTCAGAAACCTTCATTTCTTTTGCTGAGTATTTAACTTTATGTGATTTCAGGTGTTAATCTCCATAGAGCTCTTGCTACAGAATGAAATCGATGCATAATAGTGATAAATTCACTTTTTGTTGTATATAAATTTTAGTGGAAAATCGCATATGCAAATTTTTTTTACATATGTGGGTTTATCAGTCTTTTCACAAGATAGTATCATATGCATTTAGTGTTCTTTGGCTTAGTAAATATGATGAGTATTTAATCTTTACTGCTCAACATTCTGCATGTTTTACCTCATACAGTAACAAGACGTTCTTAACTAGTTGCTATTTGTATTGATATTTGTAATATACACAAGTAGTTTAGTATGTTAACAGGTGTTCACTTAAGAGGGCTCACTTGTATTTTACCATATGTTTTGTTTGCTGCAAAGAAAAGACATCCTTCAAACAGTATCATGCCTTTTGTTTGTCATTTTGCAAAACAATATTTGTTTAATTACTTATAAATCTTTAAAAGCATGCTTAAATTGAATAAACACAAATCTATAACTTTGAATGTCAGTTCAGGTATGTCTATTTATTTTTTATTTGTGAATTAACTTGTAGGAAGTATGGTAATTTACAGCAGATGATGTGATTGCATATAGTTGTAACACTTGCCATATGGTCAGGCAATGAAGGCTGTCATCTCGTTATTACTGAATGACAAACATCACGTTAAAATAATAACATGCAGAATAGGAAGTGCTCACATTCATTTATCTTAAGGTAGAGTGAGTAATTGAAATAATATGAATGCTACCATCTGAAATGTCACACAGTTTATGCTTGCTTATCATCTATATTTCAGAACTATAATTTTGTTTGCCAGGTACTACATAATTTTTATCTCTATGGATATACAGAGTTATGATGGTACCTTAGGGATAGGTGTAGAAGCTATTCATTGTTTGTTTCCTTCTAGCTGTCATACATGACTTTAAGTGCTAGTGAGTGCAAAAGGTTGCTTTAAAGAACTGAGCAAATAATAGCAGAATCTTAGTTTAGGAAGGTGGTTGAAGAAAGGTGCTGGTCTAACTCCTTATCATTGAGGAGGAAAGTACAAGCTATGGTTTTAATCATAAACCTTGGTTTCATTGAAGCATTTGGAAAAATCCTTTTTATTTCTAATTTCACCCCGTAACTTTATGTAGTTCTTTCTTCAGAAAAAACTCTCTTCATTCTGTGAGTACTATGAATTTCCATAGAGGAAGATAGCAATAGATAGGCATGCATATTAAAGGTTTGTTATCAAACTCACAAATTCAATATCAAATTCACAAATGTCTGTGAAGTTTGAACAGCTCTTGCCCTAATTTACTCTGTACATTAAGACCTTTATTTATCTAAATCAAATCTGTAGTACCCACTTTGTAAATCATTCCATACGTTTTAAAATAATTTAAATGCATTGGCAAAATGTCCTTGTAAAAACATATCGCACTTATTGAGAAATACTATGGTTTCAATATTTCCAATGTCAAAGCAAGTTTTGATGTCTCATATTGCTAAAGTGATGGAAGTGGCCAGTATTTTATAAGGTGAGTAGCTGAAGTTGGCCATATGCATTCTACTATCGTTCCTTGAAAAATAGTCTTTTCCACCCATGTCCAAAAAAACCTAGACCACTTGGCACTTTCCTTAGTGAAAGAGTGGGGATGGAGCTTGTACAAAAACAACCAAGAATATTTCTCAAAAATTACTAAGTGGTTACTAAGCACAAAACTCACTCTGATGCCTTTTGCAGGCTTTTGAAGAAATCTCACATACTAGATGTTCATTTTACTATCTGCTAAAATTAGAATTGCTCCTTATTTCTGGCAGTTGTGGGGTTTGGTTGTAAGTTTAAGCAAATTGAGAATCAGTTTATTGTTAATGGTATTGAATATGTGTTAACCTCAAAGGACTTTACAAACAAAGCATATGCATCCTATATAGGTAGAATATGCTTCTTCAAACTATATACGAGAAACTTGTGAAGTGGCTTCATTGGAATAGGATAGATTTTCCCTTTCTGTGAATAGAAAAAACATTTCAGCCTTCATATTCTTTAGGTTCTGAGCTTCTGATATCTCTTGCTATGATTTGTTTGAGGTTTTTTGGAAGATCAAATTAATATTTAATTTGTGTATTTACAACACTTGAAATAACTTGTTGATTTAGATAGCTAGTGCAAAATTGTCTGTATTTCAAAATAGTTTTTCTTCTGGAAATGTTTTTTTAAATTCAATTAGTATGTATAACCAAATCAGTAATGAGCTCAAGATGCATCAAGAAGGTTCATTAGCATACTTAAACTTCTGTGTCACTTTGCCTGGTATTTTAACTTCTTTTACCATCTGCCCTTTGTTCAACAGCTGTATTATTGCAGCTAAAATGTTTTCATCTGCACTACGTTAGAATTATTTTTAAATTAAGGACTATAGATTGCTTTTGTCCTTGTGGTTAATGTAATATTATTGTCATATAATAAATACATTTGAAAACAGATTTTTTTCCTGCTGGATAGGCTGAAATACTATGAATGCTAAAATTGCTTTTCTTAGGTACAACAACTAGAAAGAAGATTCAAAGCTATTGAAGGGGAATTAAAGAAACAGAAAAAAGTAAATAAAGACTTGTTGAAGGAGAAAAATGATTTGAATGCATCTTTAAAAGTGCAAAAGGAAGATGCAGACACAAGAGAAAGAGAGCTGGAAATGCTACTTAAGAGGATTTGTGAAATAAAAAAAGACAAAGCAGAACTTCAGTTATTGATTGATGAGCAGGAGAAAGAAGCTGCCTCTTTGAAGAGGCAAGTGGCAGAAGCTAACAGGTTGAGAAATGAAAATGAAGATTTGCTGAGTCAAGTGCAGGAGCTGAAGTGTTTTCTGGATGAAGCCAAAGCATTGGCAACCTCTGGGCCATGTAATTGCAAGATAACAGGCACCAAGGTTAAATTAAAAACAGCCAAGAAACAGAGCTCTTTGGGGCATCATGGAGCTTTTCGCAAACAGTCCATCAAGGTTATGAGTAATGTATTTGAGAACTTCAGTAAGGACGGCTGGGAGGATGTGAGTGAAAGCAGGTACGGCTCTCATTAACTTAGCCCTGTAGAGGGGACACTGTGCATATGTAAAGCACTAGCAAATGGAGATTGAATTTCAACTACTGTTGATTTGCTATTCAAAAAAAATACTGTCAGATCCTTTGAAATATCTTGGGAGGTCTTGTTCTGAGCTTATTGACTGAAATTTGCATGCAAAATTAGCCACAACTGCATGAGTATTTGAATAGGTGCCAGGAAACCCAAAAGAAGGCAATGCTTGATTTCTTCCAGTGATGCTATTTTCGTGCAGTCATGAGGCTTGAAATTGACAGTTTGGCAGGTTGATTTAATTTGCTGGCCCTTTGCATATTCACCACTGACAGCTAAGGATTCCCAGGCAAGCCTACTAAGTCGGTTTAGTTATCTTGTGACATGCCGACCCGGGAGGAGAAACATTTTTTCCCCTTAATTTAGTTAGATAAATTTTGAATGACCCATTTCAGCTTGCTAGCAGATGTCTACAAGCTGTTTAACATCCTTTAAATTAAGAACCATCCACACTAATTATTTCATGTATGTTTTATGCACAGTTATTGTACTACCTTTAATTGAATGATGGTTAAAAATCCGTTCTTTAAAGGTAATTGTTACTGCATAGAGTCCCAGTCATGAGTCACAAGGCCCTCAGAAAATTGCACTGGCAAGCTTCATAAATGTTTAGAATTTTTGCTTCTCATTATATTTGTCCACACATACTTGATGAGGCAGCAGTAAGACACTACGTAAATGGGTATCACACCTTGTCTTTCAATACTTTGTCCTAAGAGACATGCAAAGAAATTTCTCAAGCCTGTATCTACCCAAAATACAGAGAAGGTGACGGAAGAGTAAAGAAAATGGACTCATCTTCATAGGCTTCATGTTGGCTTTACATGTCATATGGAGCAAATCAACAGTGACAACTGAAGCTCTTCTGCCACTTCTCCCCATGCAAAGTAGGGGGCTCCTGAACACAGTATCTTGAGTGGGAAAACAAATTAAGAACCAAGTAATTTGTCAGTTGCTATCATTAATGTAAAGCTTGTTTGTTTTTCTGTTTGATTTAATATTGCAGATCTGATTTTACAGAAAACATACATGTTTTTCTGTTGCAATTAGTGAACTTTTTATTTAATTTACTATCTTTTTCTTGTTAAGACAAAATTGAGCAAACAAATTGTCATTGCAATTTGAGTTTGAAGTGAAGTGGAAAGTAATTGTATGGCTTCAGTTGTCATGGCTAGCTATAAATACCACTTTCTATAATTGTATTGGGTTAGGGAATTCTTGTCATAGAAAGTGAACATTTTTGAAGGTGATGTTTCAAGGTGTCATTGTCAACAAGTTAGGGAAATTTCTTAATTTAGTTCCCTCTTCTAGTTATTAAAACTGTTCTTTATCACTAGTAGCTCTCCCTGAGTTTCTACATTCAAGCCTGCTATTTTCTAAATAGAACATTCCTTGAAAGCATTCAGGTGAGAGAAACATATATAGTTAGAAATACCTCTGTGCTACTGCAGCACCTTCAAACTGTTACACTGATTTCTGTTCTTATCGGTCAATAAGACATACCAATGTGTCAGGATATGTTTTGGAAAGTATAAACATGTTTCTGTATGAACTCTTCAATTTGAGGCCTTTTCTCTGGTTAAGTAGCCTCCTTCTCTAAACCATTGATTTTTATGACGGTTTTAATTTGAACTCAGTTCTGCCTTTATAAATATCTTGGTTTAAAAAGTAGCAAATCAAAATTACCTTCTGTCAAGAGATTCCTTCACAAATCCAGTTGCACAATTGGCGATGAATAGCCACTGATGATATAGAAAATTATATATCCAAGACTTCATGTTTTAAGATAGACTTCAATGAATATCAGCAAACAAATGATAATCTGGGGCAAGACAGTGAAATACTGGAAATGAAGACCACACTGAGTGCAAGTTTAAGGAAAAATTTGAAGTAAAATAAAGTTATCAGTCCCAGATTCTCTGCATGGCAGGCAATTTCAGTAGAAGGACCACCAAGCTTACAGAATTTAAAAGCACTCCAAAGGGGTGCTAGGCAGAGATTTCACTGAAGTGTAATTTCTGAGTTTGTCTCAGGCAACACTACAAATAAAGTTCAATTGAAACAAAATGTTATTGAGTGAGGTATTGTGCATTTGTTTCTTTTGTTATCAAATGTGAAAATGAAAGAAAGTAGGAACATAGTATATCTTTGTGAGTCATTCACAGATTGGAAGTACTTTCAAGTAGTTTTCCATGTATGTCACTTTTGTAGGCTGTAACAAAAGCTGTCCTTTAAGAAGCAGTTAAAGTCTCAGACCTCAGCATTGTAGCATGAGATTCCATTTGACAGAACAGAACTTAATACGACAATTTCAGAGATTTCTTCTTTATCATATTTGTAAACATCTGTTGAATAAGTCAACTTAGTACTGTTTGGATTTTATATTAGTTTCTCTTCTTTCTTGCATGTGTTATTTTCTATGTGCTCAAGCATTGGCCATTTGGAACTTTTAATGTTTAGCTTTATTTTGTTTTGTTTTCCTGAATGTGCTGATTAGTGACTCTGAAATACCAACTTCTGAAAGTTTGGAAACGGTGATTACGAAGACAGTGCAAAACATTGATCCACTGCCAGACAGAAGTAAACAACAGGGAAAAAAGCAAATACAAGATAGTCAAAAGCCCTGCAACATTGTTCATTTAGAAGGCAAAACCCAGCAGTATAATAAAAAGGTATATAATAGAACTTGTTTTCTTCTCCTGTGCAGGGTGTTGAAGTTTAATAGTACTATCACTGCTGTTCTCCTCTTAATTAATTTGACTCTTGTTGTAAAATGAAAAGAAAATCTGCTTCCAGATATTCAATGGGTAGTTTCATTATAATTTAGAATATTTTCTGAATAATTAGTCTGCAAGAATATTTGGAGGGGGTATCAGGAGTGCAAAAGCTGATTAAAAAAATGTAAAGCTTCTGTAAGCTAGTCCTGCTGTCTCACAGTCCAGACGAAGAATGCCGCAGACATCCCATTAAACTCTCAATCAGAAAAGTCATACAGAACAGGGTTACCTAACCCATAAGAAGGAAATGGCAACATCCCCTCCTCCCCTCTAGCAAAATGGTGTGCTGACTAATCAAGCATGAACACCTCTCAGTTTGTTTGGTGTGTGCAGGAAAGAGTTGTCTCCATCTTAGAAAGATGCTTTTGGCTCTGTCTCTGTCTGGGAGGTTCTATCTAGAGAAAAGTGTGCTTTTAGCTTCTTCTTAGCCCATTTACATTCATTGTCTGGGATTTGAACCCCTTGTCTCATTCCTAACATCTATATGCTGTTTTCTCACAGAAGAGAGCCAGCTGGTCGTTTCCCAGGTCTTCAGAGGCTCCATACAATCTGTAACAGATGACTCATTTTTGGACTTTTGAACAGTGTCTAATACATTTTCTCTCCTGTGTTTGCCCAAATAAATCACTTCATGGAATTTAAAACACAAGCAGATATTGTTGTTTCTTAGTTCAAGAAATGGAATAAAACACTGAACAACTTGCTGCTGTTAGAAAACTAGTTTGAAATTCTGTTATGTATGGTGCTATAATAAAGAGTTTGAAAGCAGATTGTATTTTCTTAGTCTCCAAAATTTTAGAGCAAATACAAACTCTCTGGTCTTGTTATATATTCTTGGTTCTTTGCTTCTGTCAAAAGATCCTATTTTTCTGGCAGAAAAGCTGAAAAAAAGGGAAATTCTTCTGCAACCATCTATAGTATTGAATACACAGTATAAGCAGGTGCACATGATATATGTGAAAATCTGACAGAGTGTGCTACTCCTGTTATCTCCTGCTGCTCCTAAGTGAGGATATACAAGGCAGGGAATCCGGGAGGCTCTGGTGTCTCTTGCTTGGTAGTGGAGACACAGCCAGTACCTCTCCTGTTTGCCTATATTGCATTTACTCTCCGTTCCTACTAGAAAAGTCAAACACAGATGTATTCTGATACACGTATGTAACAGACTGGTGGACTTGGAGCATACACAGGAGCCCTAAGCAGGTAAATATGCTTCAGCAGAAGTCCCCTGTTGCACGAAAAGCACCTGAAAAAAATGGTTTGTGAGTACAGAAGATAGCACTGCAAAAAGGTTTAGTATTGACAATTGGGACCACTAATTTTAACAGAAATCTTAAATCCCTCCTGAGGATTTAAGGACATTCCAGCTGGGACATGGTAGTCTCATACAAAGAGAGACTAGAGAAACTCCTAAGTCCTGAGCTATGCCTAGGGTTGGAGATTAAACCATTTATGACACAAGGACTTTCTCAGTTTTGCCCCTGGTGGTATAAATATATAATACCCTGTGCAGTATCAGGGGAGTTATTGGCACTTTCTTACAACTTGTACATGTATCAGAGCTGTGGCCTAGAGTGAAGATCTCCATCTTTTTGCTGCAGGCATGGATTGTTTGCTCATCATCTGCTGAGAGCTCAGTTCTCTGTAACATATAATCACCATTTCAGACTAGCATCAGTCATCCAATTACATGTCTTCAGTGTTTGTAGGATCCTCTGGTCATACTGATAGGGGCTTAGTGCTGGTTTCCATTGTTGTCTTTGAGACATGGAATAAAATAATGAAGAGACTACTCAAAGGAGACAGACCTACAAGAGCTTGACCTTCTTTGTTTTCCTTACTTTGGTTTTTAGTCTGAAAAGTTGGCACTTACATTTCTTTTCTTTTTTTCTAGCATATCCTATTTTCCTGTCCTTCAAATTGTGTGGTGATTGTACAAAGCTGGAATTCATGGCTAAGCTATCCTATAATGTCAGTAATTTGTTCAGTGCAGTTAATAGATAATCCATTGGTGTTTACTCTCTTAAACTTGATGAACAGCTATTTTAGTTATGAATATTTCCAGAAATATGTTGCGAGATATCACATAGAAATTGCAAACTGAAGACTTTAAAAATTGGATAAATATTGCAGAATTCCAGAACAAAAGTGTTTCAAAATGCACTGAGCATTTAAGAGCTAGGGATATGGTGCTTTGATTTTGGAGTAAGCCGTGATCTGGCCATTTTCATTTTACATATTGCAAGCAGCATTCTTCTTCAGTCTCTGCTTCTGTCATCGAACATTTGATAGGTTCTGGAAATAGCTGATTCTTCAAATCAGGTATTTAAAAGGCATGCAGCTGACTTTTGTTAAACCCTGTACAAACACAGGGATTGCATTTGCATGTTCCTATATATTCATGCATCTTCCAGTTACAGCTTAGTGTCTAATCTGATCTTCCTCCTTTTGAACTAATAAGACCACTATTCCTTTTTATTTTCAATACCTCGAATCAATATCTATCAATTTTAAGTATCTTGAAAAATAGGATATTGTAGGCTTTCAAGTAATACACGCCATCATTTTTCCCTA